TATGTAATGTACTTGTAACATTTATAATATTGTTGCTTTATAACAGTTGAGATACATATCCAATTCTCTCACGTGGGAGTGAGTGATTCCTTTCATTGAGGGCGTTTATTTCTTTGGTGATGGATTTTCTGGAAAATTGAACGAGGTTAATAACGTAGTTTAGAGCGATATTGTGATTATTATCCTCTGTTAGATTGGTGGAGTGAGGAGCTAGAGCTTCTTATAGAGGAGAGTATGCAAGGGAATGAAAACAATTTAAGGATTGCAGAAGAAATGGCACAGTGGTTAAAGAAATTTTCACTTTCGGGGGTCGAGAACCTGGTGATTGACTTAGGTAGTGAGGATATTCAGGCTAGTGCGAGGAGTGTAGTCGCAATTTGCTCAGCAAGATCGTAGACAACAGTAGAGCATCCCTGGTGGGCCTAAGGAGAACCATGGCAACAATATGGATGATTCAACAAAGGTTGGAGGTACGAGAAATTGGCCCCAATTTCTTTCAATTTATCTTCGAAAATAGGAGTGATTTGACCAAGGTTCTGTTGGGCACCAAGTGAATTTTGAAAACCAATACTTGATACTACAAGAATAGAGGAAAGGCATTGGTGAAAAAGATTGTTGTTTTGAGGAAGTCAATCTTTAGGTACAAGTCTATAATGTACCTATGAATTGGTTGAGTACGAAAATGGAGCTAAAAGTAGGGAAATTGTTTAAAGGGGTTAAAAATGTGGGGATTACCAATGTTGGGGGAGCAGGGGGAAGAATTATCATATTGTTGGTGTTTGTTGACATAAACAAGGCTTTACCTTGATGCACTGCCATCAGATTGGGGAATCAAATCTCAACAGTTAACTTCAAGTATGAGAGACTTGTTAAACCTATGCTACTACTGTGGGAAAATAGCGCATCTGGATATGGCTTGCCAAAGCGGACTGGGAGACTTAGCCAATGGTAAAATTAAAGATGGGCACTATGAGGAATGACTGAAAGCGGGAGAGACTAAAGTTGGGAATAGCTCCGGGCAACAAGTAGATCGACTGAGAGAGACACTAACAACTCAACAAACTTGCCGCAAAACCAAGACCCAAACGATGAAATAGAACCTCGGGGTATGGGGCTACTTGGAGAGTTGAATTTGAAATTGATATATTGTGAAGTGATTAAATAGTACACCTTTTTTTACTGGTGTTTGCAATGTAAGATATGTTCTCTTACTAAAACTATAGGGCCTTATAAAAAATATTGTACTCATTAATAAAATGTAGTATTTTTTAAATTGGACTATCTATCGGACTATATTCCCAATTTCTTAATAAGCAAATTATTGTTATTTGATATGTACATTAAATTTTTTTTTTAATCAATAATTAAAAAATTTAAAATTAGGGTTGTTTTTATTCTCTTTATTTTGTAACTTAAATATTGATTAAGATTTTAAATATAAAAAATAAAATAAGAAAATGTTATAAACTTTAATCAACATTGTCGGTTATATCTATTATTGAGTTATTATTTAGAGAAATGCCATACACTGTAAAACTATTAAAATTAATGATACAAATATATATAATTACATATTATTATATAATAATTAAATAGGTTCGACCATTGGTCAGACCAGTGAACCATTGAACCAGTAGCTACAACGGTTCGATAACCGGTTCAGTTTTCGGAACAATGGTACTAACCCATAGACATATAGCCCGAGATAACCTAGAACCAACCTTGCAAATAACGACTAAAAAATGAAAACTCCCAACCAGAGAAGAACAAAAAAACAAATATGTTGCATTAGACAATTATATTTTATGTTTTTTTAGATTACTCACATTTTCTAATGAAATCCCCCTATATATTAATTAAAAACATGCTGAGCATAAGTGACAGGCTCGTATGCTTCAGGATCCTATGTGACAAAATTGCATGATTTGTTCTTAGACTTTGGTAGATTTTAGTTTACTTCCAATCAAAAAATAATTAGGTCTGCATTATCTATATATATATTGATTATATATGGTCATGTTACATTATTAATTGTATTTTGGTATCATTTCTCATTATAATCATTGAATTGTAAATGTATTTTAAAAGTTAATAACTTTTGTATTTTTTATCAATTTAACATATATAATATTTCAAATTAATCATCTTTTGATGAGCTTCGATTTAACATCCATATTGTGTGTATAAAAAAATAATTATATTTATCTTTATAACAATAATAAAATTGTTTTGTAATACTAATTAGAATAATAAAATTATCTATAATTTAATATATTTATATTTCAAGTAGTTATATGATATAAGTTATAAAAAAAAGTTACTACAGTAAAACAAATGTAAATCGCACAGGTAACAAATTTCATTCTAAAATACATAATAATACATATTTTTTGTAAAAATAAAAATAAAATAATTTTTATCATTAATTTTAAAATTTAAAAATAATTTTTTGACAAGCACCCGTATAATACACGAGTATTGTAGTAATAACATATATTTATAAAAAATAATATGACTAACTACTAATTGAACCGGACTAACACAAGATCAACCTATTGCTACTATATAAATTAGCAAAGCAAAATCGAATTATAATCATAAATTTTCACCCATCGTACATATTAAATTGAAAATTTGTCCTTGACTTTCTTTTTTTAAAAGGAACACAAAGCCCCAACCCCACCGATACAACAATTAAAATACAAAGAAATTCTAAACTCAAGGTATGACAACTGGTACGGACGGATAATCACCCCACTAACGGATATATTAACGCCCGTTAAATCTCACGTTAGCCTAACGTCTACACCAAATCCTAGATCCCTAGACTTTTCGCACTATGCCGAGTTTTATTCACGTGTTTTAAGCGTGATTAGGCCGCTTCAAACGCTCTCTTATATTATTAGACTAAAATTACACTTGTGCCCCCAGTGGGCCCCACCCGAAATATATGGCATCTTATCTTGGGCATTTAATCTACACTTGCCACTTACGATAGTTTTCTGATTTCTATGCTTCCATCCTTAAAAGCGGATGTGACAGTATAACGGACTGTCCGACCAGCCTAACGACTTTTCAAAATAAAATTTTTTTAATCGGTCGACTTTAAATTAATATTTTATTATTTTTATATCGGCATATATAAGCGTCCCGCGCTTACATATGACCATAGCGAATTGATTTTTGGGATATATGACAAATATTTTTTTTAACAGGTGCTTCAATAAAAAGCCCTGGTCTTTCTATTTGGTTCATGTTTTTCCTACTTTCTCTCTACCGTCTGTGTGAGAATTGCTCTGCTAAATCAGTTTTCTCTTTTTTTAGAGACCGCTGTCTTCACGAGATCTTGACCGCAGAGCAACAATTAGGTGAGTTCTCTTCTGAATTTTTACCCAATTTTGATTGAAATTCACTGTTTCACTGATCTTTTTTTACTGCTGTGTTTCAAGCAAAATCAAGAATGAGACTCTTGGATTTACTGCGAATTAGATCAGAGTGAACCTTAAAAAAAAAAATGATTCATTTCTGTGGATATCTTTTGTCTTCGAAAGGTGTAGCTCTATTTTCTGGAATTAAAATGATTTAATTTTATTGAATTTTTTTATTTTTATTTTTTTTTTTTGCTGCTTAAAGAGGCTTGTTCATTTTCTTCAGAGATCTATCAATTGGAATGTTAAAAAATGTGTTTTCTCCCCCAAATTACTGTTAATTTTCTTTTTCCTTTGATTTTTTAATCACTGTCGGTTATACTCATAATTTTTTTTTTTTTTTTTTAAATTTTTGCACAGGAAAGATATCAGAAAATGCAGTCAGAAGATGAATTAATTAAACTAATGCACAGCTGAAAACCCTTTTTTCTTTTATCCTTTTCCTTTTATTTTCAGACAAATTATGAAATTACAAGTGAAAATTTACTATTGAGAACAAAAGAAAAAGGGGATTTTTCTGAATTACCAGGCAATTTCCCCAATTGGGATGGCGGCTAGAGGGGCACCTTCAGAGCTGAAAGACTTCCAGATTGGGTGCTCTTGGATCCCCACAGCCCCCACTATGCCCAATTCAACCGCACAGCACCCGATCTGCAAAACTTGGCAACCGAACGAGCCAGCTCAGCCCAGTTGGGCCGGGTCGGGCCAATACAGTCAATTTCTCCCTGCTTCCCGAGCAAATTTGCATGAAGCTGGAAATTTATCAGCGGATTACGTGCAAATGACACAATGCCAGACGACACGCTCATGTTACATACCAATGGGTCAATGTACAGATCCGGTTGTCGAAAGCAGACGTCATCATGGTAATTGGCCACCAGTTGCTGATTTTTCAGTGCTTGAGGAAAATCTGTCCAATTTTGACACCTGGCAGACCAGCGTGACGGCCAATTCCCATGTCTATGGAGATTGTTCACGAAAGCCCGACTCGGTTGTGACAAAAAGGACCGACAAATTGGCCAGCATGTCTTTTCAGAAGCTCTTGGCACTGGCTGATGCAGGAGGGAGTAAAGCAGCCATTGAGAATGCACTTATGGAGAAGAATTATGTTGCTGGACAAATGGAATTCGGCGTCCCAAGCAGCAGCTCATGTGGACCCCGTTTTCGCACTCCAAACCAAGGCAGTCAGAGTCAGTACAATACTTGCTATGAGAATTCTAAACCGCATGGCCCCGTCAAATTGCTTGGAGAAACATTTATTGCGGAACTGGGCTTTGCAAACCACCAAACAGGTAAAGTAGCACCACCTGTATTTTGTTGATGTGTGAATAATTGTCTGGACATGCATATATATGTGTGTGTGTGTGTGTGAAATTTTAGAACAATGTGAACAGATGACATAAATCATTGTCCCAGCCATTTTCAATAGGTCCCTGCACTATAATAATTATCGAGCAGGTTAGACAGTAGAAACCAATTTGCATGTAGTGTTTTGAAATGGTATATTCAAAGTGAAGAACATCATGGTACAAGTATAACATAGAATAGAGTGGTAAAATCAAATCAAATTAACAGTTTTGGTTTAGTGTTTTCATTTTCCTCTTTATATTCTTAAAAGAAAAAAACTTGTCACGGCGACTTTATGAAAATTGTTATTTCATCATTTCTCTATCACCCTAATAATAATATAAATCTGCAATCTTATTCCAACAGGTGCAAGTTCAATCTCTTCCAGGCCCTCCTTCGATCTCAATTCAATACCGAGGATGGCTACAGATGCAGCCTATGGCAGGACTGTATCATTCCAGTTCGAGCCTACAACACCTCAGAAAAGCAATAAAGCTGAGTATCATCAGCAGAAAACTCCTGTGATAGATCTAACCATGGACGATGGGCCCACAGGGAAAGATGCCCGAAACAAGGTGAAAATGTCGGAGTCTTCCGTGATTATTGACCAATCGTCCTCAGCCGTGTCGACCCTGTTGCAGGAGAACCACAAGCCTGACAAGGGCGGCACAGATACAGCTGACTTGACCAAAACCCCCCAGCAGAAGGCGAGGAGGAAAAAGCACCGACCCAAGGTCATAATCGAAGGTCAAAAGAAGAGTACCCCGAAAAGCACAAAAAATCCCACAGCCCCCCAGGATTCGACAACTGTCAGGAAATACGTCCGGAGAAAAGGAGTTACAAATCCCTTAAGCGGGGAAACTGATGTGGCCGGTCTAAATGGAAAGGACTCAACTTCCCTGCAAGCTCCAACTGGAAAAAGAAAGTATGTGAGGAGAAAAGGAGTCACCAAACCCGAAGACGGTGTGGATAAGGAAACAACAAAAATGGAAGACTCGAAGGCCTCCCGAATCACCAGAAGCTCTTGCAGACGAACACTAAATTTCAACTCGGACAGCCAGACCAGAGGGGGGAGTTCCTTGCAGTATCCATCTTTAATCTCTGAAGGGGAACCTCAAGCCGAGAATCTCAATGCACAAGATCAACTGGCAACTTTGCAATGCGGGCAAGGAATGACTAAGAAAGATGATGTGACGAGTCATCATGAACTCACACAATCTACAGATCAAGTGCAGGAAAATAACATGGTAGGACATCCTGAACCTACCAGAGGGAAATGTCAAATAATATTCTCAAATGTAACACATGATAAAGAGATAAACACCCTTCAAGCAACAATGACTCTCAACGGTCAAAGTGCACCAAGGAGCCGGAGTGGTTCCTTGTGCAGTAGCACATGCTGGGCCCCAGAGAGACAGGTGAGAAGTCTAAAGAGGCAGACCGTGAGCGCAAGTGGAGAATCGGAAATCTCCAAGAGAAACGAGATGGGGACATACCACAATTTCATGCAGGCATACCTTCCTATATTTTCGCAAAATGTGGATAAGAATAATGCTCCTCCAGGATTACATTTCCCGATAATTTACAAAAAGAAGAGGACCGAGAAAGGTTATTGTACGGGAACATCCAGCTCGCAGCTCGAATCACATACTCTAAAGGATTCTCGCGTAGATCAGGTTCCATCAGTGGCTAATCAGGGATTGTCCTGTGGGCCATGTGATATTGCTAATCTGCTGAGGACTAATCCTCCTGCAAATGATGCAATTCAGACCGGACGGAAAATTTATGAAGATCTCTTGGCTTTGGGGCCTACAGAGAGGATTAGGAAAAAGAGATCCAAAGGCTCAACTCGACTGCGGGATTTGGCCTCACTGCTGGAAATCTGTAGACAACTGCCACCATCTCCAAGTCAAGCGGCAGCAGCACTACCATCCAGAATGAAACAAAAGGTAGCAATTCTACATGAACCACCCACATGTATGGAAGCTCTTGTGGCTGAGACCCGGACAGTGTTGAAAACAAAGAAGCGTACAAAGAGAAGCCTGCTTGCAAATTCAACGGTGCAGAACTTCTACACCCACCAAAAGTCTGCTGCCATACCAATGGGTATTGCTAATATAAATGAATTATCTGCTATCAATCAAAAAATAAACTTGAACACACTGGTTTCTTTTTACTTACATGAACATTTAATGCAGGACCACCACTTGCTCTGACATGGAGAACCATATCACCTGTTGATTCAATCATGGAGCAACTAAACCAGTTGGATCTAAATGCGACAAACGAAAGATCAGAAGAAAAGCGGAATGCATTTGTGGCATATCACTCACATTACCAGGAGCAACGAGCCCTTGTTCCGTTTCAAAGAAGTGGGGCGCTCATCCCTTTTGATGGATCATTTGATGAGGTTAGAAGAAGGCGGCCACGTCCTAAAGTCGACCTTGATGATGAGACAACTAGAGTGTGGAAATTACTGTTAGAAAATATCAATAGTGAAGGCATTGACGGAACAGATGAGGAAAAGACAAAATGGTGGGAAGAGGAACGTAGAGTATTCAATGGAAGAGCAGAGTCATTTATCGCACGCATGCATCTTGTGCAAGGTACTAGCATTGTCATGAACTCATTGTCGAACATGTGTAAACAAATATACCTGAAACTGGGCAGCTTTTGTGCCGTAGAATGTTGATAATTGTACATTATAACCAAGGCAAATCAAGAAAGAACTATATGTATTACTGTTGGTGATTCTATTGAAACCGATTGAAATCATTGAAGTTGCTTGGATTAGAAAACCCAGCTAACGTAGCATGCTTCTGAGATGTTTAAATCAGAAGGCAATTCAGATGAAAATCACATAAAACATCGCTTTGTGTCCATTGATAATTACCATTATGCACCCACAAACTAAGTCAGATATTTACCAAATGGTTGTTCGTTGTGTTGCTGTTATAATAAGACTCCTTTTTAAGGCAGAAAGATAAGAAAAGGGTAAAATAAAGCAACCAATGACAATAAGAGGAATAAGCAAAAATCTTTTCTACTCAATGCTTTGTATGCCAACTATTAGCAGAAACGGAATCAATTGTGGCAGAACATGTAAGTTACTAGACAAGGGCAACCAAAAACTGAACCTATATTAAAATATCAATAAAAAACTGTTGTCTACAACAATTGTCTCATGAAGCCATGCCTTACAGGTAGTAAGACATCCATTCTCACATTTCTTTTCAAATCTAAACATGAAAAGGAATACATATTAATAGCATGTGCACTTGTCCTATTTTTCAAGCTTTGTAAACTTAAATATGTCGTAAAATTCTCACAGGGGACAGACGCTTCTCACCATGGAAAGGATCAGTCGTTGACTCTGTAGTTGGTGTTTTTCTAACTCAGAATGTCTCAGATCATCTTTCCAGGTTAGTTGAACTTCCATGTCTTTTATCCTAATTCTTAACTGCATGTTTCCTGTACCGTATGAGCATCAAGGAAAACCCCTTCAATAATACTCTCTTCACTCTTGCAGCTCGGCCTTCATGTCGGTTGCTGCGAGATTCCCGCTCAAGTCACAAGCTGTATCTGTAGAATTACATGAAGAGAAACGAGGGACTGAACAAATCTGTGAGTTGGATGATGATGGGTCCATTGGATTGGGCAATGACATCATAAGCAAATCCGTCTATGGTGATAGGCATAAAGTGTTCGAAGGTGATAGCACTAGAGAAGCGAACAGTGTCAACACCTCAGGAAACAATTCTGATGAGTTTTTCCTAAAGGGAAAGTTAGAAGGCCAATCACCTGATAGATCTAAACATGATACAGTTGTGTCCAGTGAAATTGCTGCAAACAAGTCAATAAGCATGATTGAGGATGGAAAGGATGCAGAAGACGCAATTTCTTCTCAGACTCTAGAGATTTCTTCTCAGAACTCTTCCAATTCCCCAATAGCACAAATGACTGAAAGAAGTGATACTTGCTTACTGAGCACTTCAGGAGAACCAAAAACATGCGTTGAGCCAAGTGGGTTTGACAGCTCTACTTCATTCATAAAGATTCTACAGATGGCTGGCACTGTATTACATGAAAAATATGAAGAAGACGGTGAAAACATAAACTTTGATGTCAATCATCGGCATTGCCAATTGGGAAGTTTGGCTCTTGACTTGCAGAATGAAGCCCATTTGGACAAGCCTGCGTACCCATCTGACACAATTTCACCAAGTAGTAAGTCTACTTTGATTGATGTGCCCAATGCTGGATCACAATCAACAGTATCAGACTTATATAAAGGAAATATCCAGTTCTTCGACAGTTCTACCAACAGAGACCTATGTTTAGGAGATATAAGTGAACGTTCTTCAGAATCTGCATTTGGAACTACATTTCAGAAGGTCACAGATGTTTGTTCCAAAGGTGAAACAAAACTTTCAAGCACAAATGCTACTTCAGCTAACAATGACCGAGGTGTGATAAATCAGAAAACATTTGAGAATCAAAACGGTCAAGTACTACCACAGAGTTCGTGTGAGGAAATATATAATATGCAGGAGGTTCCAAAAGGTCCAATCTGCCCACAAAATTTAACGGACATTACAGGTAGTAGTAGCAACGCATATAATTTAAAATATCCAGAGCACATAGAAGTCAACTCAAATAAGAAGGATTCTGAAAATCATCGTGGCAAGACGGATGAAGGACCTAAAGGAAAGGGAGGAAGACCCAGAAAAGAAAAAGAAACCAAGGTTAATTGGGATCACTTGAGAAAACAGGCAGATGCAGGTGGCAAAGTAAGAGCAAGAACAGTTAATACGATGGATTCGGTGGACTGGGATGCTGTAAGATGTGCAGATGTCAACGAGATTGCAGAGACCATCAAAGAAAGGGGAATGAACAATATGCTAGCAGAGAGAATTAAGGTTTCTATTTATTAGTTTCAGTAACAAGCCTGTATGTTTTCATTTCTAAACTCAACACAAATTATATTTTATTTAGAAATCCAACTCATCGCCTAATCATTCTGCAGGACTTTCTGAACCGCCTTGTCAGAGATCATGGAAGCATCGATCTGGAGTGGCTTAGGGACGTTCCACCAGACAAAGCAAAGTGAGTTTGCAAATCTCACATCTAATATTTGTAAATTTAAAAGGAATAATGCATCTAAATATCCCTTTCATTTTTCAGAGAATATCTGTTGAGCATAAGGGGTTTGGGATTAAAAAGCGTAGAATGTGTCCGGCTTCTGACACTTCATCACCTTGCGTTTCCAGTAAGTTTACACTTGCTGACAATGTGTTACTTAATATGGAGAAGAAATGTACTGACAGTTGTATCTGCATTAAAAAGGTTGACACCAATGTTGGTCGTATAGCTGTACGATTAGGGTGGGTGCCTCTTCAGCCGTTGCCCGAGTCACTTCAGCTACATTTACTAGAACTGTAAGTGTGTCATTGGCTCATATTTTGCCATGAAAATTGACATCAGATGGAGATTTACTTGTTTTGCTTCTTTTGTAGGTACCCAGTATTAGAGTCTATTCAAAAATATTTGTGGCCTAGACTCTGCAAACTTGATCAAAGAACACTGTAACTAATCCTATATTAGTACAGATTTTTTATAATTAATTTACGCTATCACCCAGAACTCCTCATGTAACTTACTCTCCCCTCTCTGTCTCTCTCTCTCTCTACAGGTATGAGCTGCATTATCAAATGATCACATTTGGAAAGGTATGGCATAATTTTTAGATGTTACTTTAAAACCCATGAAAACCAGTAAATCTCATCTATCTTAGCAAAAATTCGATGTGTTGTCAGGTGTTTTGCACAAAGAGCAAACCAAATTGCAATGCATGTCCAATGAGGGGGGAATGCAGACATTTTGCCAGTGCATTTGCCAGGTTTGTAAAAAAAAAAAAATTAAAGCTTGTTGTCACTAGTCATTGAACTAGAGTATCACTTATTTGGTTATGCTTGTGTAATATCTGTCTATTATATCATATAGTCCTAACGGCTAATCACTATTTTTTTTTCTTTTCTGTACTTTTGAGGGTACGTCAAAATATGTATAAAACCAAGACAATAGGACAAAGATCCCTGATCCACAGAAGTACCATGAACTTATTCTTCATTTTAAAGGGATATATGAGAAACATAAAATCAACCAACAAAAGTTATAACAATCAACCAATCTGAATCCATTTGCAACTGATGGATAAATCTTTTTGAATTTGAAAATGAACAGTCAGGTTATTAAACCATATTTTTAAATAATGAAATCTGATAAATGTGTTTGCAGCGCAAGACTTTCACTCCCAGCACCAGAAGATAAAAGCATTGTGAGCGCAACAGAAACTAGAACAGCTGACCAAAATCCAATGAGAAGTATGAATACCTTGCGGTTGCCATCACTTGAAGCCAATCAATTGAGTACTAGATCTGGAGCAAGCAATTCTCAGCCCATCATTGAAGAGCCACCTTCACCAGAGCCTATCATTGAAGTGCCAGCCACACCAGAACAAGATTATACACAAGTTGCACAATGTGATATTGAAAATGCTTTTAATGAAGATCCTGATGAAATTCCTACTATTCAACTCAATATGGAAGAATTCACGCATAATTTGCAGAAGATCATGGAGCAAAATATGGAATTACAAGAGGGCAATATGTCAAAGGCCATAGTTGCTTTAACTTCTGCAGCTGCTTCAATCCCTGTGCCAAAACTTAAAAATGTGAGCCGGCTCAGAACAGAGCATCAAGTGTAAGTAAACATTTCTAGTTGCATATGATTAGCAAGTAACCGCTAGAGTTTAATGACAAAGACATCTTGTGGATATATTTAATGTTTTTAAGTGATAGGTTATTAACATTGTAGAGCTTGGTGAAATGTTTTAATAATCATTCTCATCATTAATCAATTTCTTTTTGTACAGCTATGAGCTGCCAGATTCACATCCTCTTCTAGAAGGGGTTAGTATTACCCTATCATAATACTAATATGCCTTACAGCCCAATGTATTTTTCAGACTTATGTAATTTCTTAATTTGCAGATGGATAAACGAGAACCAGATGATCCTTGCCCTTACCTACTTGCGATATGGACCCCAGGTACAACAAACACAGTCTAGGATTAAGCTAAGTAGTTCAAGTAAAATAAAAAATTTAGCAGGCTCGAAATAGCTGAGCAAATTTTAAAGTAAAACCAAATAGAATGATAATCAACTCAGAGAAACTATGAAATAACCATTCCACCTCCACATTTCAGGTGAAACAGCAAATTCTATTGAACCGCCTGAAAGACGGTGCAGCTCCAAAGAGTTCGGCAAGCTATGCACAGATGAAGTCTGTTCATCATGTAACAGCATACGAGAAGCAGACTCTCAAACTGTTCGGGGGACTATTCTGGTATAATAATATTACTGAAGCAATGACAATGGAAAAGAACTGCTAGACTTGAGTCAATTGTCTTTTTCAATTCTTTATATTTACAATTATACTATTGTAAAAGGATCTGGAATGCTTCATTGATCTGACATGACTGCCCATAACAGATCCCATGCAGAACGGCAATGAGAGGAAGCTTTCCACTAAATGGCACATATTTTCAAGTTAATGAGGTGACGATATGACTGAGTCTTTATTCAGATATGACAAGATGTATATTGATAAGGTACAATGGATATTCATTTGGATTTAAATTTTGTTCATCTACAGGTGTTTTCTGACCATGAAAGTAGTCAGTCCCCAATAGCTGTTCCAAGAGAGTGGTTATGGAACTTGCCACGGAGAATAGTGTATTTCGGGACATCAATACCAACTATTTTTAAAGGTAATAGAGCTAGAAACAGATAAGTAAATGCCAGTTCTCTTAAATAAAGACTAACAGTGCATCACTTCTTTCCATTTATTAGGACTGACAACCGAAGGGATTCAATACTGCTTTTGGAGAGGTAAGTCTGAATTTTACTGTTCTTGTACAAGATTTTGGTCCCTTATATGTCATGAAACCATGAAGCATAAGTTCGCAATTTATATCCATATGGGATGTTGCAAAGGATGCAAATGAAAAACATCTAATACAAGCCTCGTAAAGAGATCCATAAGTCAAATGAACATTACTTAAATGTCAGACAAGTCCGGTATGCAGAAAGTGAAAACAAGGAACCAGAAAGATTTTACTAATAGTCCTTACAAGTGACAATTTCCACTAATAGTTCCAACAAGTGACAAATTCGCATCTTCTTCGGTACAAGACCAGTCATTTGTGATGGCTGAGAATCGAAGACTCAAATTTAAGGAAGGATGCATGTAAACTTCAACAAGATCTCCTTAGCTTCTGTTCATGTTATTTTCCCTCTTGCTAGAGGAAAACAAGTTACCTTTCTAAAATCACAGCATAGATCTCCTTGTTTTGAACAGCATAGCAAATCTGATTTTCCAAAAGGAGCAGGCATCTATTCAGTTCATTATCTTTTTTGTTTTTCTGCAATTTCATTTGTTCACTGAACCTACCGCGTTGCTCTACCTTTCTACCCTGTTGCTGGCAAGTAAAACACACAAACTTGTGCACAAGAGAACAAAGTGTACTTGCTAAGTCTCGTCCTTAGCTATTAAAGTAGGCTTCTGTGCCCCGTGAACTATAAAAATAGATATTTATTGAAGGTAATTTAGACAAGCTGAATGTACTGAAACAAGGAGAACAGAGCATGATACGCTCACCACAGCCACACAAGCATAGTAATATTAACAAACTGGTAATAATCAGCATGAAGACATCTCTAGTAGTAGCTGGACACAATGTTATCAAGATCTAGCTTTCAAATGTATACCAGTGGTAGTTTGTATCACACTATTATTTTCACTATTATTGCATCTCAACATATCTCTAAAGGTCCATTTCACTTAGTGGTTCGTCAGTGAATCTAACCAAGCCATCATGTTTTTGTCAGGGTTTGTTTGTGTAAGAGGCTTTGACAGGAAAACAAGGGCACCACGTCCCCTCATCGCCAGATTGCACTTTCCAGCTAGCAGATTATTAAGCAAAGGGAAAGGGAAGGTGGATGAGAAGTAGACAAGACTGCACTTAGTTTAAACAATGGCTAAACTGTGAATAATTTAGCAACAGCAGGAAATTGACAGTGTTTGCTTGTATCATGTGAACTAAACTCGAGGGTTTATTAGTTAGACATCATTACATCCCGTCAGCAGAGAGAATAATTGGTACTAAATAACTGTGCAACGGTGTAGGAAAGGGCAGTGTTTTCTAATTTGTTGTTTACTTGTGAAATGATTAATTTATGCTATCCAAGCACTCTTTTTTTTATCAGTCCCATCCAGGTACTCTTAATATGCTGGCACGAGGTTCACGGTAAGGTCACATGTCATAGTTAAGGAAAAACACATGCACCAGAAAGGCAAAATGAAGCAATAGTTGCCAAAAACCATGTACAATCAGTTGAACCCTTCATGAAGATAACTGGGTCACGAATACGTTCTATCATGGGGAAAATTCCTATGGAGTTAACCAACATCAATTAAAGAATGAGAGTTTGATTTTAGACACAGAGAAACTGAACTCTACTCTCATAATGTATAACTTTTGCTAGTTCGTGTTTGAGTCGCAGAGACTAAGATGGGCATAATGATATTCCATAAATCAAGAAAGCCACAGAAAAGATATTAGGAAATCATATGGCAACAAGTGCTCGGGAAAAACCATCAATAGCAAAAGTTTGGATGAGTTTCATTAGGCTCTAAGACGAACGGGAAAGGGTGAAGTTATCAATCTCGTCTACGAAGTCAAACAAGTTAAATTATTGTCAAACTTTTTATCTAGCTCCAGGAAGAGACTTGCACATAAAGTTCATGTATCCATTAAAAGCTGATGCATCTTTTGGGAGTGCATAGATTTTTCTCTTTAGAACCTACAGAATACGGTGAACTAGCCCATCACAGAACAAAAATCTTACCATAATTCAGGCTTGAATGATTTTTTTTTAATCGGGGCAGACTGAATGCTTTCGAAAATAATAAGAAAATATTTTTTTTTTTTAAAAAGGTTGTTTTCCGCATTAGTAGCCTCGCCCGTGCTGCCTACTATCGTAAATGCAATTTAATTCTAGATTATTATTGATAAGCATCTAACCAACATTGATCGATATATCATACGAAGAAAAATAACAAATGCTAAAGTATATGCACCGCTGTATATCTTAGCCATAACTTCAAATTATCTGCCTCAAAGCACATATCCTATATAATGAAATGGAAGTGTATTATCATAGTTACAAAAACATAAGATTAAACTATCAATAGTAGCTCGACGAAACAATTAAAAAATGAGGCTGAAACTCACATACTTGCAGCCATTCCCAATCATCCATCAGAAATTATCCGTCAACCATACTCTTCGATTTTGAAGTTCTGGCAAAACATGCCAAAATCAAACAAAAACCAAAAATGATTACAAAGCGAAATACGAGCTCCAGAAGTTAACAACAGAAGCAAATTCGACAATCATCCGAATACCTATCAGCAATGCCATCGGCGCTTCAAAACGAGATGAAGATCGCGCAGAGCCAACCAACCAAATCTCTCTCGTCGATGAGTTCTGTACTAATTAAAATATATATATATATATATATATATATTGACAGTTTAAATGTATTCTGCAAATTTGCAGGATCTAAAACACATAATAGATGAATATTGCTTGAAATTTTAAGCCAGTGTGCGGCGATAAAAGAGTGTCAGATATTAGTTCGTTTAAAATCGCAAATGACAAAGAGTTGAAATTTTGCCGCTCGGCGTAGTATAAACTTCCCTCCAATTTTTTGCGCATTTGAAATGACGCGCCAGTTGGCGAGTGACTAGTTGGCTGGAGATGAATGGGTTGAAGTGGGCCTTATTACGCGTTGATTTGATGGAAATAAGGACACTCATGTCCATTTTATAAAAATATGTAATTATTTATTACTATGAAGCATAGTTTTTAAACCCGGCCCGGTAATCGACCCGGGCAGGTCTTCGGGTCACCGGGTCACCGGTTCAACCGCCGGGTCACCGGGTCAATTGCTGAACCGGATAATTAATTTTAAAATTTATAAAATTATATATAAAATATTTTGTGATATATAAATATACAAAAAAACAACAAATTTAAATATTTTGTATGTAAAATTTGTAGATTAAAGTGGTAATAATATATATATATTTATCATATAAATATATACCTAATTTTATTTTTTAAAAAAGAAAAAGAAAATTAAAAAACAAAAAAAAATAAAAAAAATACATATAGACCGGGTCAACCGGGTTGACCCAGCCGGGTCAATGCCCCGGGTCGACCGGGTCAAGGCCGGGTCGACCGGGTTTTGACCGGGCTTGACCGGGTCCGTTGTTGCCCGGTCCAATTAACCCACCCGGACCGGTTCCGGCTCCGGGTCGACCGGGTCCCGGGTCGACCCGCCGGTCCGGTCCGGGTCACAAAACAGTGCTATGAAGAATAGAGATTAACTTTAAGTAGAAAGTAAATTCTTGTAAAAAAATATATATTTTATTATATTTAATAACTTTTTATAATTCTTTGAAAAATTGGCAGTAATCTTTTTTAACTTTTTTGAAAAATTAACGGTTGATTTGCAATTTGAGTTTCAAATCATTCAAACATTTAAATGAAAATATCATAAGCATACTTGGGAAATGCCTTCGATCAATTGAAGAACAATGCGCAACTATTTAAACCCTCCTTCTCCCTCAAGTCTAGCGAAGGCATAGAGAAAACAAAAAGATCTGGTTTCATTTTATTTTAACTTACATATAATCACATTCCTAACAAACACTAAATTTGCTCATATATTTTTAAATGAATTACACCAACAAATAATAATAACATACATTAAATATCTATCATTGTATAAAAAAATAATATTGCTTTTTTATAAATGTTATAAATTATAATGATATTATACGAAGATAATTTTTTTAATAAGATAATATTTGAGTACTGATTAACCAAAATATATAAAATTATTATTTTTCTGTTGTTAGAATAAGGGAGTAGTGGGGCGGTGCATCTCTCCCACATGCCCACCGCCCATTTGTCCACTTTGTCACATGCAATTATTATTAAAAATAAAAAAAAAATAAAAAAAAATAAATATTTTATATTCAAATGGGGAGGTAATCCTCCCCTATAAATACTCCATTCGGGCAGAGGGAAAAAGCGCACCAAAGAGAGAAGAAAGAAAGAAAAAGGAAAGAGAAGAAAAATATATGTCTAAATATCGGATATAAAATTATCAAAAGAGAAGAAACAAGTGATATTTTTATTTGTTTCAGAATATTTCTTTTATTTGGAAGTGCTCAATTCTCGATTCCATTCTTGTTCGCCGGAGCTCTTAAATCTGGTGTGCTACAGATTTAGAGACGTTTGTCGTTGTATCTTTGGGGAAGTTACGCATGAACCGTTAGTAACACACGGGGCGTATTCTTCTTGCGGAAAGAGTTTTACTCGCCTCGGCTAAAACCTTTCCGTTTTTCAGTTGTAATTTATTTTCAGTTCAATTGTAATTTTCTATTTTAAATTATTTGTAAGAACTGAAAAATACATATCAGTTCGTAGGATTCCCGTGTAATTTCACACCAAGTACCCAACAATCGCAAGAAGAAAAGTTTTTTCCAACTAAACTGATGGATTCCACCGGAGCAGGTTCCAGCTCTCAGCAGCCAATCAACAACTATGTTCATCATTATCATTTTGTACCTATTGTTCAAGTCCCGACTGCTGAAAAACCAGAAAAATTCAACGGTGACTTCAAGAGGTGGCAGCAGAAAATGCACTTCTACCGAACCACTTTAGGTTTGGCAAATATCTGAAGGACGATCCCTCTCTTGTTGCTGAAAATGAAACCAACGTTGAACTACGCGCTGCGTACGAAGCTTGGGGGCAAGGTGATTACCTTTGCCGGAACTATGTCCTGAATGGACTTAGTAACAAGTTGTACAATGTGTACAGCTCTGTTGGTTCTGCCAAGGAGCTTTGGGTTGCCTTAGAAAAGAAGTACAAGACTGAGGATGTCGGGGCGAAGAAATTCGTCGTTGGCAAATTTCTTGACTTCAAGATGGTTGACACAAAGACAGTCGTGTCACAAGTGCAAGAGTTCCAGCTAATCTTGCACGATATTCATGCTGAAGGGATGACTTTGAGCGAGTCATTCCAAGTAGCGGCTGTGATCGAGAAGCTGTCGTCAAGCTGGAAGGACTTCAAGAATTATCTCAAACACAAAAGAAAAAAGATGAGTCTTGAAGACCTGGTTGTTCATCTTCGTATTGTGGAAGACAACCGTAATTCATCAGGGAAATCACCGATGATGGAAGCTCGTGTCAACTTGTTGGAGCAAGGCAACTCGAGCAAAAGGAAGTCCCTTAACAAAGGGAAGTAGCCCGCCAAGATTTGAAAGTTTACTGGCACTTGCCACAATTGTGGAAAGCCGAACCATATGGCCAAGGACTGTAGGAAGCCAAAGAAGGCTGGCCAAAAGAAGGCACAACCAAGTGCTAGCTCTTATTGCTGAACACGACTATGTGCCGGGTGAACTGACCGACTTTGATACGTCGGTTGTGGTGTTTGAAGCCAATATGGTGGATAACCCAAGAGAGTGGTACATCGATACTAGTGCCACTCGATATGTCTGTTCCGACAAGAAGTTGTTTTCTAATTACACTCCTCTAATGGTCGAAAACTCCACATGGGAAGCTTCTCTACGTCTGATGTGGCTGGAATTGGCACAGTGGTGATGAAGCTCACTTCTGGAAAGGAGTTGAAGCTTAAGGATGTTTTGCATGTCCCAGACATCCGCAAGAATTTGGTCTTCGGATCTCTTCTTGTTGAACATGGATTTAGGCTGGTGTTTGATGCTAAGAAGTTTATTCTTAGCAAGTGTTGTCAGTATTTTTACCGGAGTAGAATCGAAATATTCGTTTCCCGATTATTCAATCACGAAAAAAGAGAAAACGAAAATCCTAAACACTCTCCTTCAGTATTTTTCAGGTTTCAATTATCAACTAAGG